CACCATCATTTTCACCACCATCATCATCATCACCGTCTGCCCACCAGAGGCCGAAGCGTGATGGACTGTGACGAGACCCGCAGAGATCGCAGTGCGTCGACGATTCAGACCAAGCCAATGGGAGCCACAGCAGCTGCGCATATACTTCATAACGACGATGATGATGAGGATGCAGGACAAAGACAAAGACCAACCGTATAGCCTTCAAAAGACTGTTGTGGCAAGTGCTGTTAGCGAGCAGCTGTTGAAGGCCGGCACGGCACACGAGGGGGTGGGCGGCCAGCACCACGCCCTGATGATGATGATGCACAACATGGAGATATAAATACTCCCTGCTGTGATCTCCACCCAGAACAGAGACCACGGAACGCGGAACGACTCGGTGCCCGATTTGCAAACACGAAGGATGGAGGCATCATTATTATCATCATCATCATTATTATCATCATCATCATTACTATCATCATCATCACAGCGGCGACGATTCACCACTCCGCTTGCTACTCCTGACGCAGTCACCTGCCACGGCAACGTCCACGTAAAATGAAAGCTGTTGCTCTATGCATCAACATCAGCAGCCGTACAGAGGAGGAGGAGGCAGAGGTCGCAACCGGATACCCGACACCCGTACCCTACCCGATACCCGGCTACCCGTACCCGGCCGAGTACGGGTACGGGTACCCGATTGCTACCCTGGTGCGGCCGGGTACGAGTACGGGTAGGCCATGAGTCACTGGTGAGTCACCGTTTGTCACTCATTTCGGGTAGGGTACGGGTAGGGAACGGCGACCCTGGTGCGGCCGGGTACGGGTAAGGAATCAAAACCCGTTTGCGACCTCTGGGAGGAGGATGAGGAGGAGGAGATCGCTAAACGGGCACTAAATGCTGATTGTTTTCACATCCACCCGAGCGGGAGATGAGTTTCGTGCCACCGCACGTAGCTTTCTATCCATTACCTGGCAAGGCTTTTGATGAAACAAATTTAAAAAATCTAGATTTGAAGTTTTCGTTAATGCATGGACCCATACACGTTGGTTCTTTCGGTAAAGTCACGTAGGTATAAAATAAAATAAATTAAATCACGACGTTTCGGGCGCAACACAAACGTCCGTCATCAGGTGGGACAACCACAGCAAGAAACAATTGCTGAAGTGGGCAAAAGGGCTGCTTGTATATTTGATACCGAAAGAACCAAAGAGTAAATAAAAAAATGCAGCCCCAATGAATTAATAACACGGCGGGCGCGTTATCTCAATCCGCCCCCCCCTCCCCCATTAGCGACGGTGCACAGTGAGGGCGAGCCGGGCAGCCCGGCGGAGCGAGGGATGCCTCGGATTTCACGGGGTGGAGGGAGTTGTGGGTGGATCGTTCTCTCGCTCGCTTCGCTTTGACAACCCACGCGCCCCATCGTCCTGCAAGGCCCATGCCCTCTGCGAGTTGACTCTGACGCCATAGGGAGCCGAATGGGGGGGGGGTGGGTCGCGTGTAAAAGCTTTTCGGATACCTAAAACACACAAAAAATGCACTTTTAAAAAATATATATTAATGCGCGATGGTTGGTTTGGTTTGCATTGGTGCAGATGAGCTGTGCGGTGAGGTTAGTATCGGTTTAAGTGAGTTTAGTACTGGTGTTGGTGAGCAGTTTAGTGGGTTTAGTATCGGTTTAAGTGAGTTTAGTACCGGTGTTGGTGAGCTGAGTGGTGAGTTTAGTATCGGTGTTAGTGAGCTGCGTGGTGTGGTGAGGTTAGTATCTGTTTAAGTGAGTTTAGTACCGGTGTTGGTGAGCTGCGTGGTGTGGTGAGTTTAGTATCGGTTTAAGTGAGTTTAGTACAGATATTGGTGAGCTTGCGTGGTGAGGTTAGTACTGATGCAGTGAGTTCAATGCCGGCGCCGTTGTAATAAAATCAAAATCCATGAGAAGATTCATTGGATGGATGGACACACAGACAGAGACAGACGGAGACAGACGAAGACGGAGGGATGGAGTGCTAATGTGTGGACTGCCAGGTAGATGGACAGCCACAACGCACTCAGAGATAGACTGACGTGGACAGTCGCGCGGGTGAGAGATGGGCCTACAGATGGACACGCTGATTGACACGCGGACACAGACGGATTGACGGGCGCAATATCTCCCAGACAAAGCCAGAGTGCACTTTCGTTGGCTCCCTTTAAACAAATATATCGGGTGTTGTTCCATCTGTCTCTCTCTGTGTGTGTGTGCGTGTGGCCAATGTTCATCGCCGTCGGCAGTTCCTTGCCGGTGTCAGAAATTCCACATTCCTATGGCAGGGTCGAGTTCGGCTCCACGAGGCAAACCAAAGCCAACGACTCCTCGTTAAGCAAAGCCCACCACTACCACCACCACCCCCACCCCACCACCACCACCCCCCCCACCACCACCACTCCCCCCCACCTCACCACCACCACCCCCACCCCACCACCACCACCCCCACCCCACCACCACCACCCCCACCCCCACCCCACCACCACCACCCCCACCACCACCACCACCCCACCACCATCACCACCACCCCACCACCATCACCACCACCACCCCACCACCATCACCACCACCACCCCACCACCACCACCACCCCCACCCACCACCACCACCCCCATCCCACCACCACCACCACCACCCCCATCCCATCCCACCACCACCACCACCCCACCACCACCACCCCACCACCACCACCCCACCACCACCACCCCACCACCACCACCCCACCACCACCACCCCACCACCACCACCCCACCACCACCACCCCACCACCACCACCACCCAACCACCACCACCCAACCACCATCACCTCCACCCCACCACCACCCCCACCACCACCCCCACCACCACCCCCACCACCACCCCTACCACCACCCCTACCACCACCCCCACCACCACCCCTACCACCACCCCTACCACCACCCCACCACCACCCCTACCACCACCCCCACCACCACCACCACCCCTACCACCACCACCACCCCTACCACCACCCCCACCACCACCCCTACCACCACCACCACCCTCGCGCACCTCCGATCAGCACGGCTGGCTCGGTACGGTGCGAAAGAAGTTCGACTCGCATACGAAGCTATCATCGGCGGCGAGCGTGACGCTGAGCGATCTGCGCGGGGCGAGTGGAACGCGCCGTGACTTCCCCTCGCCCCCCAACCCCCTTCTTCTTAATTCAACGTCAAAACAAAAACACCAAAACATCGACACGGTGGCATCTCATTAAATTGCTCTACTCACAGCCGCGAGGCACCGTGGTGGTGCTTTGTGTGCGTGTGTCGTTGTAATATATTTAAGAAACAAACTCATACAATGGGGTGGGGGGCGGGGGAGGGGGGTTTGATGGTGGGTGGGTGGGTGGGGGTGGGGGAGAGCGAAGCTGATTAATTTAAGAAAATGATTGGGTCGTCACCTCTCCGCGATGCGAGCCACGGGGGATACGTCGCGATCCTCTGCGTGCGTCACGTTAGGACAATGGGAACGCGCGAGGGGGCGGTCGATTTATTTATTTGATTACTTCCCCATCCCTCCCTCCCCCTTCCCACTAGGAGGTAGTTGGTGGTGGTGGTTGTGGTGGTGAGCCGTTGCGAGCCGCGGTCAAGGTTGACTGCCTCTCTCTCTCGGTTTTGCCGGCGCCGTTGCTTCGCGTCTGGGTTTGGGGCTGCCCAGAGTGGCTGCCGAACTTGTCACGAGTCGTCAGAAATCGCTACGGGTCGCCACAAGTAGCCACGAGTTGCCACAAAACGCCACGAGTCGTCACGGGTCGCCAAGAGCCTCCGCAAGTCGCCACGAGTCGAGTTTTCATTCGAGAATCACGAGAAAAATAATTTTCACATTCGGAACCACGAGTGGCTCCTGGGGTCGTGTAAACTAATTGCTCATGACGCGCGCGCACACACAAATAGAACGTAATTACTTCTCACACCATTGTGTGTGTGAGTGTGAGCGAGCATGCGGGAGTGTGGCGGAGTGGTGGCGCAGCGGTTAGCACGCTCCACGGACGCATTGAGCCACCTGCATTTGATTTCAGGGCCCCGCTGGCGATACCCGCGGTGTTTATCTGAACCTGTTCCGGGCCGAACGTCATCCTTAAAACACATTCCTGCGGAGGGAGCTGGTAGGAACGTTGGGTTGCTCGGTCAATGGCCAGGGTCAACGGCGGCATGGTGTATTCCGCAAATATGCCCGACTGAGGGCGGGCACAAGCCGGCGTGAGTAGGTTAAACGTTGAGTTTTATAAGGGCACCATGGGGGTGAACAGCCCCACCCCACCCAGCCCCATTCCGGGTGGATACACACCCGCGGGATTAACCAGGGCGGCCCGCAGGGTTTGAACCGTATAACCTCTGCAGCAAGCAGGCAGTCTCTGTGTGTCTGCGAGTCTCTATGTCTCCATGCGAGTCTCCTCTACGTCCATGCGAGTCTCTGTATGAGTCTCTATGTGAGTCCCTATGCCTCTATCTGAAGTCTCTATGTCCATGCGAGTCTCCGTGTGAGTCTCTATGTGAGTCCCTATGCCTCTATTTGGAGTCTCTATGTCTATGTCAGTCTCCATGCGAGTCTCCATGCGAGTCTCTATGTGAGTCCCTATGTGTCTATCTGAAGTCTCTATGTCCATGCGAGTCTCCGTGCGAGTCTCTATGTGAGTCCCTATGCCTCTATCTGAAGTCTCTATGTCCATGCGAGTCTCCTCACCGTCTCTGTGTCTCCGCGTGTGTGTGTGCGTGCGTGTGTGCGCGTGTGCGCGCGTGTGTGTGTGTGCGTGCGCGCGTGCGTGTGCGTGTGTGCGTGTGCGTGTGTGTGCGTGCGTGTGTGTGTCCGCGTGTGCTTGTGTGTGCGCGTGTGTGTGTGCGTGCGTGTGCGTGCGTGCCCGTGTGCTTGTGTGTGCGTGCGCGTGTGCTTGTGTGTTCGTGTGTGTGTGCGCGTGTGCGTGCGTGCGTGTGTGCGTGCGCGTGTGTGTGCGCGTGTGCTTGTGCGTGCGCAGGGCTTCTCCGGCAACGAGAACGCCGACTCCGTGGTCCGCCACGAGCTGCCGCGCCCGCTGGTCACGCGCTTCCTGCGCTTCGAGCTCCCCGGAGGGGGGGCCCCGGGAGACGCGGTGGGGGGCCAGGCCGGAGACGCGGGGGGCCGGCCTGGACTCAGGGTCGCCGTCTACGGCTGCCAGTACAGTACGTGAGCCAGGGTGGCACCGTGCCCCCCCCAATTGGGGTGGAGGTGGCATGAAGTGGAGGGCTGTGACAGCAGAACATTTTTTTAGGGGGGGGTGGATGGGAGTCAACTCCCATCCGCCGCACCCATTCGTTCGATTTGTGAAGTTGCAGGTGGTGAAGATGACAGAAGAGATGGAGACGAGCGATAACGGATGTAGTGGCTACGAGAGAAATGAATTGTTGACGAAGGAGCGAGAGAGATGAGAGCAGAGAGGTAGAGAGATGAGGCGGACGCGGTGAGCTGAGATATTTGGGTGAGGCATGAGGATGGGAGATGAGATAATGTCCATGTAGCACGGGATAACATGGCATTTTAAAATAGAAATTCCAACTTTTATTTAAATTTACTTTTTTCTTCTTCAAATATTCTTGCTGTGGATTTCACACCTGATGATGATTGCTTGTGTTGCAGTCGAAACGTCGTGAGAATTTTTATTGTTTCATATTTGTATTATTTTATTATTTCCCTTCTACGTGACTTTACCGAAAGAACCAAGAATATGAATCCCTGCAGTCACGAAAGCTTTAAATCTAAATTCACTCCCGAATAGTTTATTTTGTTGTTATTGTTGTTGTTTCACAACACCACGCGAGCTGCGTGGGCTCACTAAAATAGCCTTTCGCTTGATTTGCAATTTTGCCCGGTGCCACTTCTCGCGTGACCCCGGGGGGGTCAGGGTCCAGGGTCCAGGGTCCAACTGTTCAGGCTTTCTCCCCCAAAAGCGCCTCCACCTATCTCTGAATACGAACTGATTTCGTTGCTCCATCTCCACCGGTGAACGTGTTGACGAGCGCGCATTCGCTCCCGTGGGTCAGGGGCTACGGGTTTGCATTCCGATAGGTTCGGCGTATTTTTTTTGGTGAAATGGATTTGGGATTTTGGTGTCTGCTGGTGAAACGAGTGGTGCGTTTAGGGCCGGGTTTTATGCGCTCCGATGAGGGTAAAGTTATCGGCGCAATGGGCCAGACTTCTGTCGGTGGCTTTGGCAAGGGTTCGGCTGTTGGCTCAACGGGTCAGGGTTCGGAATTCAGTTTGTGTTCGGAGATGGCTTTAATACAATCAGACTCACATCAGTTAGATCTGACTTCGATAAAAAAAACAGGTGGGGGGGGGGGGGGGCTCTGGGTTTCGCTTCGCCCTGAGGGATTTGCCACGGTCCAGTGGAAATGGCTCAGCTTCTAGATTCCATTTTTCGGTGAGTCGTAGAGAGGCGAGGTTTTTTTTTTTTGGCCGAATGCGGGATGAACCGCGCCTGCGTTCGGCGTCCGCATCAGGTGACAGCTGGGAGGCCGCGTTTTCGGCAATAGGCAGCGACGACTTTTGGTTGTTCCGGGCCCATGGTTACTTGGCGGTTGCATGGTTCACGCCACGGTCATTCCTTAAACCAGGAGCGCATGTGGCGTGACAGGGAATACGTCACTGGAGCGCGTGCCGCTGGGAGATTGGCAGACAATAGAATTCGGGGTAGCACCCCGTTCTGCCAGTTGCACCTGTGGGCAAGGCACGGAACCCTCTGACGGAATCTAGAGGGGTGCGGGGCCTGGCCACGTTGGGGAGGATAAAAGACGAGCTCCGACTCACAGTCGGGCTGCTGCGATCTGGAGTGGAACTCGCCGTGCCGTCGTCGTTGTCGTGATCTTTACCCTCTGCAAGCTGTGGGTCTGGCAGCATGGTGGCTGTCCCGACACAGTATGTGGTTATCTCCTAAGGCTGTGAAGGCCGGAATGAAAGAGAGAGTATTTTTTTACTCGTGTCTGTGAATTAGCACACTATACACGTGTTTCTATGTAGGGAGCGGTGGTAGCAGTGGTTAGCGCGTTACCCTACGAACCCTGCGACCCGGGTTCAATTCCCGCTCACGGTCAACAGCAAGTGGCGAAAATATGAACCTGACCTGGGCCTCCCCTAGGTCGACTCGGCCTCGAATGAGTACCTGGTGGTGGTGTGTAAACATCGCTACTGTGGAGAGACAAAGGCGGCCAGGCGTGGTGCTGGTCACCCGCCCCCTCGTGTGCTGCGCCGGCCTTCATAGGTGCTCGCTAACAGCACTTGCCCCAGCAGTCTGTTGCAGGCTACACGGGCGACCTTTGTCTTTTTTGTCCGTCGAACTTCTTTCGCCACCGTGCGTAGCCAACCGCGCTCGTCGGAGAGCGGAAGGGCGACGAGAACGGATCGCGAAGGGCAGGTTCGAAGCGGAGAAATTGCTTCTCCTAAAATCCGGCGCGGGTTCGGAAACCGTGCGTACGCAAAACCGCGAAGTTCTCGCTGCAAAGACGCGCGGCAGAAGACGGCGGCGCTGTTTAGAAGTGGGGGGCTGCGGGAGGGGGGGGGGGCTGCGGGAGGGGGGGGGGGGCAGAGGCCCAGCAGCGGTCACCGCGCAGCCTGGAACCTGTAAATCACAAAGAATTATTCATTCGCGGGTCGGCGCGCTTTTATTTATTTATTTATGCTTCCCCTTTCATTATCCCTTTCGGATTTTTATTTTGACCGTCCCCTCTTAGCCCACGCGCTTCTACGGCTAATGGAGAGGCCTAAAAGTGGCCCGAATTTTTAAAAGCCTCCTCCTCCTCGGGGCCACGTGAAACCTGAACGTTGCTGCGTGAAACCCGAAAGGAATCGAGGTGGAACATGAAAGGCCGGGAGGAAGAGACAGGGGGGTGGTGGGTGTGGGTGGCTTGGAAACGATGAAGTAAAAGGGCGAATGGGGCATTGATATGTTTTACTTTTATTTTATTATCCGCGGCTGATAGCTAGGTGTGGGGTGGGTGGGGGGGGTGGCGCGGGGCAGGGTTGGGCGAGGTCAGTGGGTGGTCGCAACGAGAGACGAGCGTAAATTTTAATAAGAGAGTACGGCACAATACTGGGACAAATTGAAAATTGCTTTTCCGAGGCGCCCATCTATAATTCGGAAAGCCCATTACCGTGTACCTTGTGAAGGTTTCGGTTCCTCCTACTCCCTCCCTCCCTCGAGCGAAAATCACAGCGGGGGGAGGGGGGGGGTAAGGAGTAGCAGCTGGAGGAGCGAACGGAGTGGGGGGGGGGAGGAGAAAGAGGGGCAATTTCTGGATGAAACGCGGCGATCCTGCCAAGCTGAAACGGGACAATTGGTGACAAATCGTGAGTGCGTTTCGCAGGTTCGGGCGCGCTGCTGCTGGTCGCGGCAGAAGTGGCCCTGATTGCAACGAGAGGTCGGGGGTGGGCGTCAGGTGGGGGCTGGGGGGCTGGGGGGGTGGTGGTTGGAAGAGACGGACGCACAAGCAGCGAGTGCCCGTGCCCTTGGCACGCCGAATCGGCGGTCGCGCATCACTCGGCGCGTCGCGAAGCATCGTGCGGTGATGGGGGGGGGGGGCCGGGGGGGGCGCGCTGGGGGGGGGGGGGGGGCTGTGGTGGGGGAGCGCTGTGGGGAGGGGGGCTGTCTGCTTGGGCGCGCCTCGGATCGTGAAGGCGCAGCAGCGGGGGAGCGCGCGTGAGTGCGCGGTTTCGCGGGACGAAGATGAGCGAGACATCGTGCAGGGCTGCATCTGTAACCTCCGCCCCCCAGCCACCCCCCCCTTTCTTTAAAAAAAAAACGTTGTCAGTCTTGGGTGCAACTTGTAAAAGTGCAGCGGAGGCACGGCCATTGTGTCCACCTCGTTTTCTTCTTATTTTTTTGTGGTGCCCTTTCAAACGAGGCTCGCCTCCCCCACTGGCTTCTTGGACTTGGCTGCCCCTGATTGGCATGCAGTGGAGAGGCGGCGTTGGGGGGAGGGGGGGGGGCGATGCAGGGTGGGGGCTGGAAGACGAGATGGGGGGGGGGGCCGTGCTGCCTACGAATGCTGTTGGGTGAGGTGGGGGGGGGTGCCCACCCAACGGGTTACATTACAAGGCTCTCCCTTTCGCTTTCATTCGCTGCCGATTACCATTTATGTTACGACCGAGATGACCATCTGCCGCCAGGAAGCGCTCACTTCTCGTGTCCACTACGGGTGTCCACCCAGGGTGCTCACTCCTTGTGCCCACGGCCGAGAGCGGCCGCTGCTTGCGTTTCCAATCTGGTCTCCCCCCCCCCCCCCACCTCTCTGTCTCTCTTTTTTTACGATCAGTGGAAGCAAGAAGATGCTCGGTGTAGTCGGCACTTTGCTTCGTTCATCATTTCGTATTTTTATATAACTTTGCTTTGTGTAAACCCCCACCTCTCGCTCACTCTCTCGCTCGCTCGCTCGCTCTCTCTCTCGGTCACTCTCTCGCTCACTCTCTCGCTCACTCTCTCGCTCACTCTCTCTCTCGCACACTCTCTCGCTCACTTTCTCGGTCACTCTCTCGCTCACTCTCTCGCTCACTCTCTCGCTCACTCTCTCGGTCACTCTCTCGCTCACTCTCTCGCTCATTCACCCGCTCTCGTTCTGCACGCAGCCCTTCTCGCAGTCCGACGGCCTCCGACGGGTAGCTCATAACTACATGCAGAGCTCCCCGTCATCTGCCACCAAGTACACGGCCTCCTCCATCGCCCACTGCTCCTTGAAGGCCGGCACGGCTCCCTCCCTCTCTCCCCTCCCCTCCCTCACCGTTTCCTCTCTCGCCCCTCTCCACTCCACTCTCCATTCACTCTCCATTAACTCTCCCATCCCTCTCCCCTCCCTCTCGTTATCTGCTCTCCCCCGTTGATAATGAGAGCCACGCTGTCGTATCTGCACGCGCCGATGGGCCCTGGGTGGTGTCCCGTGGACGTGGGGATTCAGTGCGGTTATGGACAAGCAAGTCTGTAGAGACCACTGCAATAGAGACCACTGCAATAGAGACCACTGCATTAGAGACCACTGCAATAGAGACCACTGCAACATCGCTGCCTAGGTCATGCCGTGTGGTGATACAGCGCTACCGTGGGAAGCGGTGTTGTAGTGATGAGCGGCACCGCGTTACGAAACTGGCGTCCCGATAGTGACCACGGTGTAATGCTACGACTCACGATGATTACGAT